ACGGTTTTCAGTCCCAGGCACCGGGAGGGGGCCTCCAGGGAGAGGTGCCGCAGGTGCCGCCCGCGGTGGTAAAGCAGCGCCGCCAGCGCGCCGTCGTACGACACCCAGTACGGCCTAAACCGCCGTTTCATGGCAGCGCCGTACATGGCGCCGTACAGCGCCTTGTCTGGCGGGAGAGAAAGGGTGGGGGCGGGAGGGCGGGATGGGGAAATGGTGGCCAGTGTGTAGGCAGCACATCGAGATACATACATACATACATGTGTAAATACACGCGAATGTGTTTTACGTACAAACCCTGATCAACCCCTCATCTCCTACCTCTCTCACAGCGTTGTCTTTCTATTTAACATACACATGTCGTACACGTGCCGTACTACACCTGTCACACTGTCGTACACCTCCCGCGGTACCAGTTGTGCCAGCCTCTCCGCCGCTGCTGCCGGCCAGGGCAGCGCGCCATCAACGTAAAACCATGTCGCCGGCAGCTGACGAAGCGTCACCGACTCCAGGAGGGGCAACTCGGCGGCGGCCAGCAGCAGCAGCGGCACCGCCGTCGGGCCGTCAGCCTCCAGAGCTCGCAGGCTGCCGCGTCACGGATGGTGATCACAGTGGATTGAACAAATGTGCTGACGGGCGGGTGAATGCATGTATGTATGTATGTATGTATGTACGTATGTATGTATGTGATAGTGGTGGTGCGGGTGGTTATTGGTGGTAATGGTGCGGGAAGTGGGGGGTTATGTGGTGGCGGGTTGAAGGTGAGCGGCGGTGGCGAGGAGTACGGATGCCATATGCATGTACGACACCAGGAGTATGGTACGGCATCTGGTATATGTGCACACCTGCGAGGCAACGCACTGCGCCTGCGAAGGGTGCCGTCGCCACCGCCGCCGCCGCCTTCGCCACTGCGGCCATCGACATCGACATCGCCGCCGCCGCTTTGTACGGCGTCCCCGGCATCGCACCTGACCGCGCGGCCCGGCCGCAGACCCCCAGAGCCGTCGCTAGTGCTGTCGTTGCAGCCATCGTTGCCGTACAGCAGGTCACCCACCGCCGCCACCATGCCCGGCGTGTCCGTCATGTCAGATAGCGGCGACTTCAGCCGCAGGGCTGCGATGTGGGGCCGGCGGCGAAGGTACGACGCCAGGCTGCGCACCTGGGCGCTATCCCACAGCCGTACCTGCGTTAATGCATTTTACCGTGTACGGCAAGCTGCCGGTATGTTACTCCACGTACAAGCACCCGTACATGCAACCTTACACGCACATGCACGCGTATGAAGATAAGTATAAGAGAAGCAATTGGTGGAGTTATGCTACTGATTTTGGCGCCCTCGCGAATTCTTATTTTTGGTCCGCCATCAGCCTCGCTTCTCACCTCCACCATCCCCAGCTCTGCCTGAAGCTGAGCTGCTGACCAGTCCGAACACACCAGCGCTATCGCAGCCCATGCTTCACAGGCAACACGGCCCTCGGGTTGGTGCTCATGCCCGTCTGGCGATGCGTAGTTTGCAGTGGCTTTAGAGTCAACGTCAACAGCAGCCTCACAAAAGTGATAAAAACGTCCTAAATTAGGAATGATGTGCTGTCTTAGAATGTCAAGAAACGCCTTGCAAATCCAACGGCTGCTATCTGCGCAAGATTGTGCACTCCCATGACTGTCGTCTCCAACTTGGGGTGTGCAGTTGCTCGCTGTGAGCTCATCTTCAACCGTTGATGGTGATTCCATTCCTATTAAATCAAGCTTGAAGGTTCCGTCGCGGTTCCGTCTTACAAAGCCCAGCAGTCCCGTTGGAGCGCGGATGCGCTGTCACAGGCGGCAACCCGAGATGCAGATGCTGCTATCACCAGCATGGCAAGGTTAAAAAGATGGTAAGTTTTATGAATGGCTATTACATACTCTGCATGTATAACTCTAGATCGCCTACTCGCTTCCCCTTGCATCAGTTGTACAACCATTATGGTAGTTAGACAGCGGTTTCCCGGAAGATGGGATTTTATAATTTATGTAATCTTCACGGAGTGAACTCCTTGCTCATCAGCGGCTTGCGATGAGCGATTCATCCAGAACCTCAATTGTACATTGACTTTCGCTGCAGCTATGATATGAATGAAATCCATCGCTATGTGTAGCAGGTATGGCGCAAATTACACCGCACCAGTGACAGCTGTTGGAAATGAGGCCCAGCTGAGAACGCAGCAGAACCAGAAGAACGCTGACCTCGAGTCTGCCAAGAGCTTTCTAGGAAATGCGTAACCTGTTAGGGGTTTACATAGACTATCAGCCAAAAGAAGCCTTCAAGCCATATTTCTTGGAAGGTTATATGCCAAGAGGGGGGACCAACAACCATGTGGGTCACTAGCCGTACAGCCACATCCCCAGATGCACGAAGTCCCAAACGACCAGGATAGGCCCACCCGCATCCCAGATTGAACCCACCCGAGCTAGCGCCATGTAAGCAAACCTCCTGGGAACAACCCATGCAGCAGCTGGTGCAAAAGTTCTAATCCAATCAAAGACTGCGGTCTCGGAGTGGCACCTGCCAGCAAGCCAGCAGAGGGAGATACGAGTAATCACTTGTTGCCATTTTGGCTTTATTTGCCTTTTTATCCGTGAGTTTTCGCAGGGCCGTGCAGCTGGTCGGGGGTCCCGCAGCCGCACAGCGGTTACATGGAAACTCGCAGAATTGCTCAGAAAGTGCGAGTAGAGTGCGTCTGTAGTCATAATCGGTGTAGTTACATTGGTTTGCATTGCTTAAAGTGGTTGGGTGCAAGCTATTTTACAACTTCAGCTGAGCCGTAGCATGCCTTGATATGAGGCAGTTAGTTACTGCATGCACGTCATTCGCCGAATTTCTATCTAGAATCGAATACTGAAATCCCGATGGCAAGTCGGCTGTAAAATTTTTGCAAAGCATTTAACAAATACTTTTTTATGAGGTGTCGTTGGATGTGTCCCCTCGTTGGACGCGCCCTCTGGCGCCCTTAACTCCTTCCTGGACCCAAAACTTCGGCCGCCCTGCTTCCGATTCTCTAAATTGACATAACGAGTATTGGAGGTGGGCGTGTCATCGCAACGTATTTGGATACGTTACCCAAATGCAGAGTGACAGAGATACGACAGCTACGGCAAATTGTTTCCAGACAGCAGCTTCCCTTGTGAACATGGTCTTACATTGATTTGGTGCTGATTAGTGAAGGTTTCTCTGTTGTTTTGCTGTCCTACACGTAAGAAGTGTATCGGAAAGCGGCTGGCTTTCCGTATCGGCCGCAGTGGCCGGAGAGCGGAGACGCGTCCGTTTGCTTGCACCATCAGGCTGGATAACGTTTCATCTGTGTATCGGGCACCTTAGGCTCCCGCCGAAGCTATAAGCTTCGTGGTCCTAGGTCACCGAGGATGGCCGCAAACTCAGCCTCTGTACTTACCAACTTCTTAATCAACTTTTATATTTTTCTTGGATGCTTCGGCGCATTTTCGATACTCCGCTTACGGCCCTGGGCGAGGCGTTTCTTTGCGGCGCGGAGGTGCGCTAGATGCTGTGCATAGCCGTTGGCTACCAACAAGCATATTTGGACGTGTCGCGCGTTATGTTGTCTGCTGCGTGTCACGGAGATGGGTGACGCCACGGGGTTTCTGGCTTCTGTTTTCGACAATCGTTTGGTGCACTGAGGCGCCTTGCTTCTGGAATAAGGTGCATAGCGTTGTCTACAGCTTCTAAATGTAACAAAAAGATATTGCACCCTCTATGTGCAGATATGCTAAGGACATCGACCTTAAGCCCAAGCGGCTACCAAATGGGCTGCTTAGCTGGATCTACCCCGTCATTACATATCCTGAGGGGGATATTATCGACGAGGCTGGGCTGGACTGTGCGATGTATCTGCGCATTCTCCGTTTCGGTGTGTATCCGAGGGAGGAGGGGATGGGGCCTTGGGATCGTTAAGGCGGGCGGAGTCGGCCAGGGGTATTCTTGCCCGGGGGGTTTTCACTTTAGCGTGGCAATTTGGTGGGCCCATAGGGCCTATATTGCTCATCGGACAAGCCTTTGTTGACGTGTGGGAAATGTCTCGGGGTTGCCATGTAATGTGCAGCCGCCGCCATAAAAGCGCAGGAGGTTTGGGATAAACTTCTAGACTTGTGATCGTTACCTTGGCACTCCGTTGACCCAGATCAGGAGCAGGACTCCAAAAATTGTAGCACTACAAGCCGCACATCCTGCCTTGCTAGGCGACATATTCTACACATTTACTTAAAAATCCAAGGCTCCTTTTCTCCCCATGGTCCCTTGTCACGGTCAAAAGGTTAGGGGGTCGCATCGGAACGCGCCATCCATCCCGCCCAACACTTCCATGCACGTACCTCGTGCCTTAACCGGAACCCCCCTAGACCAACCCCCTAGTAGCTTGCGACATGTGTACGGTGGCATGTACGGCGGCGTGTACGGCCGTATTGTACGGAAGCTTTGTGGCTGTAGAGCACGACCTGACGTGGATAATGCCTGTTTGGTGACTGCAGGGGTGTACCTATTCTTCCCCCTCACGATCTTTTGCATCATCGTGGTGCTCCCGCCCAACATGAAGAGTAACGGAATTGAGGCAATCCTCGCGGAGCAGGTAGGAGCAGGGGTGGTAGTGGTGGCGGGCGTAGCAGTAGAGGTTCTGGAGGTGGTCCTAGGAAAGATGACATCGCATATCCCTCCGATCTGCATATCGTGGGTCTTTCTGTTGTTGTAGATAGAGAGGAGACATCGTCTATGCCACGTTACATGGGAGCGTAGGGGCGAGTAACACATTGACGAGTTGTTGTCCTAATTTAATTATGTACGAAAGTACGGTAATCGTCTTGCAAAGCTGTGTCTCTTACCCAGCTTAGCCGTCCCACCTTGGTGTTTTCAGTTAGTTGAGTGTGGGCACGTCTGATACTGGTTTGGGTGCGGCGTATGGGTATGGGTATGGGTATAGCGTGGGGGCAGTGATGAGGAACAGTGGCAGTGAGCTGCGCCGCGGCGGCCTCCCCGCGGGCCTAAGTTGCCTCAAAAGGACACCACAGCTTCCCCCGGTCCCGTCCGGGGTCCGGGCGGTTCCGCCACACAGCGGAACTACATTACACAACAGGCAACCATGCCACCAGCTAGCCGGACAGCTGTGCCCGTTTTAGACAGTCAAGTGGAAAATTGCTATCCGGCGTGTGGTTTTGGAGCTGGGTGCCGCCGGCCCCCTTGCATCACCCCTTGAATCGTCGACGCTCTCTTTCCCCTCCCGCTCCTAAATCCCGTCTTGTACGACCGGCCGCTCCCGCTCAGGCTTTGCGAAATGCCGGCAAGAACCAGACCTCGGGCAAAGGCGACTTGGAGTTCTCCGATTTCGACCATTACTCGCTGTCCAACGTCGAGGCCGCCAGTCCCAAGATGTGGGCACACCTGTTCGCTGTGTACTGTGTGGTGCTGTACACCCTCTGGGTGAGTGCTGGGTGAGAGAAGTCCTCGTTCGGTAGTTGATGAGTTCTCTGGCTGGCCTCTTGGCTTGCAGAGTCGTCGGGTGTCGACGGGAAGCCCTAGATGTCCCTTCCAGGATGTCTTTCTTTTGGGTCAACTTTGGTCGCTGTTTTTAAATTGGATTTGGGTCAACTCCATCTCGTCGCGGCGTTGAAAGGAGTTGAAAAGGAAAGGAAAGGAGGTGTGAAGGTGGGTCAACCTGTTGTGTTCTGAACCTTGTCCACCCCTGCGCTCCCTCCCTTTTGACCTGTCGTGCATGTGTTGTACAGCTGCTGTGGCGGTTCAACCGCGAGTCCGTGTTGCTGCGGCTACTCTTCCTGGGTAATGCGAAACGCGGAGGGCCCTCTCACACCGTGTTGGTGACGGATATTCCGGGTATTAGTGAGGTGGGTTGGGCGGGGAGGGAGTGGGGCGGGAGTGTGAAGGTGAGGGGACAGCGGGGGGCCCGTTATCCGGGGGCAGACAGACAGGCAGACGGGGAGCTATATGCTCGACATGGCGGCTCTGGGTAGGTGGGATGCCCTGGTGTGATTCGCTTTGCTCAAGTTCTGTGGTTGGGTCGTTTCTCTTGGCAGCGTCTTCGGCCGCTGTCGTACAAGGTTGTACTGCACAGGAGGAAGATGATATTGCCGTGGCCCATGTGCATTTCTTTTCCACTTTCCCCAGCCCGTGTGTGTGTGAGTGCTTATGCGTGTGCGTGTGAGAGGACGTTTTTGTGTTTTTTCCTTTCGACCTTTCCAACGCAACGTCGTCTCCTTGGTGGTTTTTGGATGGATGCGAATTCGTAACGCGCCTGGGGCTTTCCCCCACGCATTGCCGTACTGCGTTTGTCGTACAGGCTGTTTCCAAGGCCCTACGGGACGAGCGGGCGAAGAAGCAGGAGATGAAGAAGATGGAACGAGATAAATCTATTATCTCGCAGAAGAGTGTGGACGTGCAGGTATGGGTGGGGTGGTGCTCGGGACCGTCTCCATTATTAAAGCTCCGGTCCCCAGAACCGCCCACGGCGCGTGTAGTGCGGTCCACTCGGCCTGCGAGCCAGTGGCCGTGTGTGTGGTGTACCTATTTGTTTGTTTGTTTATATATTTATTCATTCATATATTTATTCATTCATATATTTCTCTCTTTACGAAACCACATTGGTTAGTATGATTCCTCGCTCCCTCACTCAACTTCAACCCAGCTAGGGCACTTGGGCGCTGACCCGCCACCCCTGCCGCCCGTTTTCATTTTTTCTTTTCATTTCCCCACTTCTTTCCCACTTCCTTCCGCGCCTTGTCCTTACACCCTTAACCCCCAACCCTAACCCCACCCCCACCTTCAATCGTGTGTGGTTCGTCTTTCCCCCCCCCCCCCACCCCTCCCACCCCCACCCAGCTGGACGACGACAGCTACGCAGAGCTCCCCGACCAGCCGCGGACCGCCACCACCAGCGTCGCCAGCACCACGCTGAAGCCCCAGACCTCACTGCGCAAGGGCCGGGTGGTCTCCATCAGCGAACCCCCGGTGCTTGTAGTCCAACAACAACAGCTGCAACAACAGCAGCAGCAGTTCACGCCGCGTGCCGTGCCGTCGGTGGAGAAGGGCGGGTAGGTGGGGCTGGCGCTGTTACGGTGCTGTTGTGCGGGATGTGGGGAATGTGGCAGTGGCCAGTCATCTCCATGGTTATGACTCAACCTGATGACTCAGCAATGAGCCAAGAGTGTCGTACAGAAGACTGGAGAGCGGAAAACTTGAACAACCGGATCCCGACCCCCCCGATAACACCCCTTACCAGGCCACCCGCTTTTATGCCTTGCACACCCTGCACATACATACCTACATACCTGCATACATGCATACATGCATACAAACGCCATTCACTCCGTAACCGCAGCCGGTCGAACGTATCAGCATCGCCCTTCTCCGACGCCAGCGCCAAGAGCTTTGAGAGTACTGCAGACGCCGAGCTGCCAGGATCCTCCACGAAACCCGAGGTTGTCGAATTAAAGAGCGCCGCCTCGGCCTCTGGCGGCGCCGCTGCTGGCGGCGGCCCCGCCGGTCCCGCCGGGGGAGCTTCCTTTGTTGTTAAGGCCGGCGGGAACAGTCGCTTTAACTTGCGCAGTATCCTGAGTAGCACCGCTAGCGACGCGCAATACCGGCTGGTGGTGGATGACCTGGACCCCAAGTACGCGGCCACGGGCGGCAAGTTGGAGTTGGCGCGCGTTGGCAAGACGAACGAGGAGATCCTTAAGGAGTTGCAGGTCCGTACATTTGGTGAATTAGTAGATTGGCTGGTAATGGGTAAGCAGGGGGCGCTGTTTTGCTGGCTGCGTTTTGGCTGGCTGTGATGGCGGGGGTGGGGGGTGGGGGGTTGGATGTGGTGGTTTGGGGGGAGTTGGGAGGTTGAGAGCTGGGTTGGGTTTGGGAGAATAGGTGTTGATAACGACGGTGTGCGGATGAGGAGAAATACAGAAAAACAGACAGACGGACAGAACGTGTTCCGGAGGAGAGGGTGTGTGATCCGGTAGTGGGAATATGGCGATGGTGTAATGATGTGCTTTGTTGCAGTCCGGAGACGTCAAGAGGGGGGTAGCTGGGTGTCTGTACTGTGTGCGACATTGTTGGCGTATTGTTCTATGACGCACGGTGCTTCTGTACTAATTCTGTACTGTTCCGTACTGCTTTGAGAAATCGTACTGTGCCGTACCGTGTCGTTGCCTGCAAAACAGGTCATGGAGAAGGACGATTTGGTCAAGGGCCTTCCCGAGAAGCTGGGGGTGGATACGAGGCCGCTGCCTCCCACCCGCCGCAACACCAAGCGTTATGAGTACGACCTGAAAACAACGGTGCTGGATCCCGTACATGAGGCCCTGGAGACATTGAGGGTACGAGCCCGCAAGTGCGATGTAGGGGAAGGGAAATTGTGAGGATTTGGAGTACGGCACCCGATGGATGTTGTCTAGCTGTACCTGGCCTCTCTTGTGCACCCCCCTTGAGGGGTAGGCTCAGATCTCGCTCGCTCGCTCTCCCCCACTCTCCCGCTCTGCTTGGGTTCGTTCCTCCTCCAACACCTTTCAGAGGCCTGGCCAGGTCTCGCCGGATTGCATCTACTCGGCTCATTAAGGGCCCCTCCCCCATGTCGGGTGTGCCTGTCCGTATGTATGTATGCATGTATGTATGTATATATGTACACGAATGCGGATGTGGACATGGATTCACGTGTTTTGAGGTGGACTTGTGTTTTTCCGTGCATTGCATTGCCGCACCGCACCCACAGAAAGGCGTGACTCCACAGCAATTGGTGGCCCGAGAGTTTGCGTTGGTGTACGGCACGAGCAATGTGGCCGCGGTCAACATGATTCAGGACACGAGCGCGTTGGAGCCTCTGGCTGAGGAATACAACCAGGCGCGTGTCGGGGGGTGGTTGCTGTTACTGCTACTGCTGCGGTTGTGGGGTTGGGGTTGGGGTTGGGGTTGGGGCATTACATATATCATCACCCATCCATAGCATCCATAACAAACACAAAAAATGGCCCAACCCCACATATATATAGGCAGGCGGCTGGCAGAAGTTAAGGCCTGACTTCTGCTCCCAGTCGACCCAGTCGACCCGGGTTCAAATCCGCCTGCCGGCTCCTCGGGTGTTTGAGGAGTGATGAAATGGGAGGTGGCCCCCCATCATATGGACGGTGTAGGACGTGATAATATCAACTTGCGAGCTGACCAGGAACTAAGTTGATGCGCCGTTGATCCGCTAGATTTGGTTGGATGCTGGTGGTGAGTTGCCGAACCCAACGAATACATTCTGAAGTCGGATGGGGTGACGGATTAGGGTGCCCCTCTAGCAGGGGAGAGCAGGGACTGCCCCGGGAAAGGGGGCCGCTGGCGAAGTTAACCACCCTGTAACAACATACATATGTATGTATATACATGTATATTTGTATAAAATGTCATCACCCATGCATGACAAATAGTTTAGCCGCGGTGTGTTCACTCTTCTGCAGCAGTTGTACATACGTACATGCATACGTATATATTTACGTATCCAATACGCACATGCGTACATACCTACATACATACTGGTGTGTACACGGCTGCAGCTTGTCCCGCGGTGTCTCTCTTGGTGTCGTTTGCTTTGCTGTCCTTGTCCTGTTCCTCATCATCCTCCTCATCCTCATCTGCCGGCTCATCCTCCTCCTCGTCGTCCTCCTCCTCGTCCTCCTGCAGGTGTGTCAGGACCTGGACGACTACCTGGAAATGGCCAAACTGCGACTCAAGCTGCGGAAGGCGCTGCCGCAGAAGCAGGTGTGACGCGGTGCTGTCGAGCAGTCGGTCGGTCGGGACGCTGTCAGGGACATTGACATTGACATTGCCATTGCCCTTGCCGCTCTCTCTTGCCTCTGTGGCCCCCACCCCTTTTGCTCGCTGCCATCCCCAACCCCGCCCCCCTCATCCTTTTTGGTCAGTTCTACTTCTTGTACACTCTTGCCCTGGCAGCAGCTTCTCTCGTTTGTGGTTCGTCTTTCCCCCCTCATCCCACTCCGCGCCGGAATCCCCCGCAGATCTCCATCCTATGTGCTCGGTACCAGGACATGGACTATGTGAAGAAGTTTAAGACGAAGTGGTTTGTCAAGGTGCGGTTGGGGGGCCGCTTTGGGGGGCGGGTGGGGAGGGTTTCGGGGAAACGGATGCCTTAGTGCATGTATACCTGTGAGTGTACGGTGATGGTGGGTGTATTTGTGTGCATGTGTGTGCGTGCGTATGTTTTTCAGTGGAGGGTGGTCTGTCGCACAATGTGGCACTTCGTGCTCGTGAACAGTCCTCTTCAGGATATATAAACATATACATACATAGGAATATATTCCCCTCTGAATACCCTCCTCCCAAATATGCTGCACCACCTTTTTCCCTCGGTTTGATCTTTGGATCATTAGAGAGCGATCATAGGAGTATAAGACTGATCAGAGTACTTCCTAAGAGTAATCAGAGTGTTTAGAGGAATTAGAAGGAATTGGATTTTCTCTCCTAGTGCTGTGTGCCGCTGACTTCTCTTGTACTATGCACTATGTTTCTTGCACTTTGTACTAATGGTCGGCTCGGCCGGGTGATGGACAGCCTACATACATACATACATACATACATACGTAGGCAGGGCCATTACACGTCACCTGTACGGATATTGTACGGCTGTCGCACTGCTCCGCAGGTGGACGCCGTGGAGTTCTGGTTGGAGCGCATGAAGTACCTCCGGGTGAGGGGGATACGGGATGATGACCTCACCGTGTACGGCCGTCATGTGCATACACACGGGGGGGAGAGGGAGGGGGAGGGGGAGGAAGAGGGGGGAAAAGACGAACCACAACCGAGTGAAGCTGATGCCAAGGAAAGACTGCTGCGGCGGATGTAAAGAAAGGAAGAGGGGGAGGGGGTTAGGGTGGAGCCGTGCACCGTTGCTTTTTTTACTGGGGGGAAAGGCAGATTGCCTCTCTGGGCCATCTTTCCCGACAAGCCAACTTTCTTCGGTTCTCTCTTCCCCAGCTCTGTATCATCGCAATCGAGGGACATCGCATCCCATAATATTGGACTTGTGCCCCTGAACGGGCATAGGTCCAGGCCACTTGGTGCATGAGTGCATGAACCTCACCCCCAGGACGAAACTTGTCGGTGTTTTTTAATAAAAAGAGTGCTAATAGATAGAAAGGAATGTGGTTACTGGTCGCCAATTATTGGTTGGCTGTTGCTGTAGACATAATCCCCCCTGGAGGAGATTACCTACTGGGGGGGTAGGTCATGTTTGGCGGCCTCATCTAAACTCCCAGTCGCCAGTAATGAGTTCGCAATGTAGGATGAGGCAATGTAGGATGAGATTAAACAGAGTGCGCACGCTTATTTTACACGACTTCATCTTACTCTACTTTTACATACAGACATGCATACCTTGACGACAATGTACCGGTCTGAATTCTTCCCCCTTCACGTCCGTACATCCGTACCTCTCTTTTTCCGTTCTCCTGGACGTCCGGGACGTCTGAAACGCCCAACCGCCCACGGATGGGTTGCCTGCTCCGTTTCTGATCCCCTTGTCTTTATCTTGTTCGTCGTGCTCCAGGAGCGTATTAAAATTGAGCAAGCCAAGTGTGTCCGCAAGATGGCGCCCTCCGCCTTCGTCACCTTCAAGTAAATGGGGCGCTGGAAAGGGTGCGGGAGGGAGGAAGAGGAGGAGGAGGAGGAGGAGGAGGAGAGGCAGATGAAGGGAAGGAGGGGTGAAGAAGAAGGAGAGGAAGAAGAAGAAGAGAGGCAGATGAAGGGGTCATGCGGGACAGATGCACAAGGGGGTTCCGAGGCATTCAGGAGTGTCCGGAACATGGTTTTTGATTTGGTCCAGGATTGCTTGAAGATGCTCCGGAAGCTCGCCACAAAAAGAACTAATCAAACGGCAAATCATGTGCGATTAACGGGTTTTTAAAAGCGACCTCATGCCGCCTTCGCCTCCTCCTCCACCGTCCCCGGTGGTCCAGCCCTTCACCTCCCCCCAAGCTTGGGATGTCGGCAATGGAATCCTTTGCTTTTTTGCTATGCATGCGGGATATCCCCCTTACTTCCGATTCCCCGCCGTTTCCCCCTGCCCCCTCCCCCCCCCCCCCTCATCAGCCCAATCTTGGCATCAGCTTCACTCATTCCTGGTTTGTCTTCCCCCCTTCCGCCGTCTATCTCCCGTCCCCTCTTATCTCTTTCCTTGGCAGCAGCTTCAATCGTCTGTGGTTCATCTTAAATAGCCCCCCTTTCGGATGCCGGCAGTTCATTTCTGGTTTTCTTGCTTTCTATGATTTCCTGCCCTCCTTTTCCCCCTTTCATTTGCAGCACTCGCATGGCTCAGGCTGTCAGCGCCAACTCGCTACACTCCCACGACGAAAACGCCTGGCGGGTACAGAACGCCCCTGCGCCGTTTGAGGTGGTGTGGAAGAACCTGTCGCTAACAATGCCCATCAAGAACGGCCGGCTGTACCTCCTGTGAGTGGTGCCGTACATATGTGAACGTTGGCACGTGTGCAAGCAGGGGTTTCATCGTTTGGTACATGTCATGCCTCAGCATTGGGGTTGTTCAGCCTTCTGGACAACCCCTCGTTTTCGCGATTGTTGCGTACATACATAGATATGTACGGGTACGCACGGGTATATGTCGGTATGTACGTACGGCTACACGGTATGTTGGCAAAAGAGTCCATGAAGAACAAGATGCATTTGGTGGTGTTGGGAACCCGAAGAGATAGTCCTTGCTTGCCTTGCTGTGACGCGATACCGCTGCCTCGTTATGTGCATATACTAGGACATGCCAACACACAAGACTGTCTGGCTATCATGGACTATATGCCAGGTCGTATTGCTTTACGTGCGCGGTAACGGATTCCGTGGATAACTCCGTGAATCTTCAAACACCCCCAACCCCCCTCCCTCTCCCCCCTCCCTCTCCCCCCTCGCACCTATACCCCCTCGGGTAGGTGGGCTGCTTTCTGGGGCATGACCATCTTCTTCATGGTGCCTGTGTCCTTCATTCAGGTGGGTGTTGAGTATGTGTCGTACGTCGTACATTGTACGACTGGAAGTGCCGTAATGACGCGGATTTAAGACCTGCAGTACCGGTAGTAGTATTAGCAGTAGCAGGCGCAACTGAGCTGACAGACAGACATAACGCGCAAGACATTCATGAAATGTTTTGCAGTAGCTCTTTTGCTGGGTGCCTCACCTCACCCCACCCCACCTCACCTCACCTCACCTCACCTCACCTCACCTCACCCCACCTCACCTCACCTCACCTCACCTCACCTCCGTGAACCCCGCTTTCGACTGGTGGTGACGTTCCTCATGTCCCCCCATCCTGTGCTGATACAAGCCCCGGGGGTGCCCCGTTACCTCCCAACTCACTACTAGTGGTATCTTGTAACAATTTTTTGCAGAGTAGGTATCTGTCTATCCTGGAGTATTAGCATCACTCGTCCGTGGTTCGTCTTTCCCCTGCTCCGGTACCCCCTGTTGTTCTCTTTCCCTTTTGCTGACCGCTCCCGCCTTCTCCCGCCTTTTCCCGCCTTCTCCCGCCTCTCCTGCCCTGTTCCCTGTGTGCGGTCTCCAGGGCATGATTGAGGTTCCCAAGCTGGCCTCCATTCCCGTGCTGGGCGACATCGTGACCACCCCGCCCATCAAGCAGCTGCTGCAGGCTGTCATTCCAGGTGCGGGTGGCCAGTCGGGAGAGCGGGGGGGGGGGGAGGGGACGGTTTCGGAGCGGAGTCGAGAGTGGTACGGGTCTGCGGCCTGGACATCCGATTTTGGGTTTTTGAGTGGATCGCGAAGCGGGGGAGCGGGGCGCCCGTGAGTGCGGTGGGAATGCGCGTGGCTTGGTGGCGCATTTGGTGGGTGAGTGGGTGACACAGGCCCTCGTCATGCTCTGGGGAAAAGGGGGGGGCCGCTGCGAGGGCTGCAGTTTGTGCAGCCTGCGAGTCAGCCGTTGGCCCCCCGGGTTTCCTGTTGCCCGGGGTAGCGCTGCACGCGCTGCGTGGCGCTGCGCACCCCCGCGCTTTCCAAGTGCGGGGCTTCGGTTTGTGTAACCTCGTGACCTCGTGTCGGGTGCTGGTATCGTGTCCGGCTAAGTGCCCCGGAGGCTTCCCGGAGAGAGCCGCTTCCCGACACGTAAGACCGGGGTTGATCCCACCTTTTGATGGGACCTTTGGTCGTGTCTGTCCGTCTGTCACTCCCTACCGCGTGGCTGGGCTTGGCTGGGCTTTAGGGTTGTGTGTGTCTCTTTCGCTTTCCTCCTTTTCGTTTTTTCTTCACTGTCCTTTTTCTTTCCAAATCCTATCCTTCCTTTTGTTATATTATCCTTCCGCTTAATCTTAATCTTCTTTATTTTTATTTCATTTTTGTATCGTATGCTTGTGGATTATTTTGCTCCGCCGCGTTCTCATGACAGGTCTGGTGCTCAAGATCTTCCTGGCGCTTGTACCCACCATCCTGCGCATCATGGCGCAGCTGTCCGGCGCCACCTCCGTCAGCGAGATCGACTTTGGAGTCGTGAAGCGCTTCTTCCTGTTCCAGGTAGCCGGCCAACCGGGCTGTCGTGGGCGGCGGCGGGGCGGCGGGTGGGGATAGTGATGGGTTGGAGGTGGCCGTGGTGGAGGTAGTGATGGGGGCGGGGGTGGCGGAGGTGATTGGGGTGGCTACCTAACGTAATGCGCTGAGGGGTGTATCGCTCAATCGCGGGATGTTGCGAGGAGGGGAGGGGAGGGGAGGGGAGGGGAGGAAAAGGAGGGGAGGATGAGGTGGAAGTGGTGGCGGCCCTCGTTGCGCAGCTGCACAGCTCTGTTGGGAGGCCTCTTTAAATAGACGATTCATACATTAAAATGTATGAATTTTTTTAATTAAATACGTATTAGGGACAGACCTGCAGGAAGACGGGTCTTTAACTCTTTTATCCACCCGTCTATCCGGGTCTGTGTTGTATGCGTGTGTGTGTGTGTGTGTGTGTATATGCCCTCCTCCTGCCCTCCCTCTTGTCTATCCTTGGCATCGGCTTCACTCGTTCGTGGTTCGTCTACCCCCCCCCTCTTTCCCCCTCCCACGGACGCCTTTCGGTCAGTTCTACGTTTGTTACTCTCTTGCCCTGGCAGCAGCTTCAATCGTGTGTGGTTCGTCTTTCCCCCTCCCTCCCCCCCCCAGACGGTGGTGGTATTCTTCGGGAGCATCATTCTCGGCTCCTTTTTCAACCAGCTGAAGCAGTGGGTGAAGGAACCCAGCAGCGTCATCGCCACACTGGGCAAGTCCATCCCCATGACCTCCACGTTCTTCATCACTTATCTTCTCGTGAACGTAAGTGAAGACGAAGGCCGGAGCCGCGGCTGTGCTCCCGGGGGTGGAGGTGGAGGTGGAGGGGGACTGGGAGGAGACCTGTCCAAAGTGTACATACATGTACGAGTGTGTACGGATGTGTACGGATTTTCACTTAACCATGTTTCACCTCATTCTGTGCTTCCTCCTTGCGCCTGATGACATGCAGGGTCTGGGTGTCAAGTCGTTTGCCTTCATTCGGCTGCCCAACTTTGTTATATATTGGATCTTGTCCAAGTTCGCGGGTAGCCCCGCGGCCCGGCAGCGCATGTGGATGTTCCAATGGACCAATAACGGCACCACGGTGGTGGATCACACCATCGCCATGATGCTGGGACTGGTGCGCCGGGGGGGGGGAACGGGGGGGGGGCAATTCAGTGCGGCCACGGGGAGCGACCGACAAGGGGGATACCCGCACTTACCTACTCCTCCTAGCACTTCACTTACCTTTTTAATCCTACTTGACCCACATGCCAATTCCATCCTACTCGACCCACATGCCAATTCCATCCTACTCGACCCACATGCCAATTCAATCCTACTCGACCCACATGGCAATTCGACCAAAATCCTTTTTTGCGACTCAATCCGCACTTCTCCCGCTTCCTACGGGCCCTATACCCGCGTGTGTCCTCTTCCCCTCTCTTTCCTCTCCCTCCCCCTCACTTCTCGTGGTTCGTCTCCCCTCCCCTCCCCTCCCCTCTTCACCCCCCTCCTGCCGTGGTGTTCCAGACCTTCTCCTGCATCAACCCCATCGTGTGCCCCGCTGCGCTGGCGTACTTCTTGGTCAATTTCCTAGGGGAAACGTACAACAACGTGTACGTGTACCGCCGCCAGTACGAGAGTGGCGGCATGCTGTGGAAGACGGTACGCGGGTTGACGGGACGGAGGAGAAGATGGAGGAGGAGGAGGAGGGGGATGCATGTAAAGCCACCAGCATCTGTGTTCCTGCGTGTGTGGGTTTGCTACCGTGGGGGTTACCGCCCTGGAAGGCAGTAAGTACCCCCGTCCTAGGGTGCGAGCCTAGGGGAGCCCCGTTCTATATCTCCCTTAAGGACGCCGTCGAAAGCTTTCTTAATGGGAAATCCAGGGAGCCAGGGAAATGAACGTTCCTGTCACCTCCTTCCCTCATCCTTCCTGCATCATTCCCTCCCTCATCCTTCCCACCCTCCCCTCCCTCCCTTCTCCCCGCCCTCTCCCTGCCCCTACTCCTGCTTCTCCCTCCCGCCTGTAGGTTTACAACCAGGTGATGGTGGCGCTGTACATCATGCAGATCACCATGCTGGGCCTGCTGTCCCTCAAGAAGTTCAAATTCAGCCCTTTCATGTTTCCCCTCATCATCTTTTCCATCACCTCGCACATCAGCACACTGCAGCTCTTCAACAGGCCCTGGTGAGACTCGGGGCGGGGCCAGTCCTGGAGCAGGTGGCTGCGGTGATGGTAGTTGAGATGGCGGTTGGGATGGTAGTTGGGATGGTGGTATAGGTCCCTTGCGGCTTCGGCTCCTGGCTGGGATTCAAGCGGGCCGCGTATACGCCATGTTGGCGTTTGGTTTGTTCTTCTTCTTCTTCTTGGTTGCCGTCCTCCCGCATTTTCATCTTTGTGATGTGCCCCACACAGCGGCCCCAGCGGCCCCAGCGGCCTGCAAATCGACCAGTTTGGACTGACGTTCGCACCGGACTGACTACCGGATTGCCGGATTACCCGGATAGGTAGCTCCAGAGGTCGCGACGCGCGCGACCTGGGTTTTCCAAAGCACTAGCTGGTTCCCGAATGGTTCCATCATTCCTTGGGGTAGCTTAGGTTGCTTAAAGCTACAGGGTTGTGATAGGTGAGGGGCTAGATGAGTCGCGTTGGAGGATTTGGGAGTTGGCCGTGGCGCAGCGCCCTTTCGCAACCATGCTTTGGTGTTGTTGCGTTCGCGAGGTATCCTCCGAAATCCCCAATACCGCAACATCCCCCTCTCCCCAACACACGCACGCACACACACACGCACGCACCAACGCTTGTTTCCCCCCTCCCCCAAACACGGCCCCCAGGTCGGTGACGGCGCTCCACGACGCCGCTTACATGGACATGTTGGAGGCGGACCAGCGGCGGATGACACTGCTGGCAGCTGCACGCGAGGTGGGTGGGCAGGGGGTGGGTGGGTAGGGGGTAAGACGAACCAGCGGCGAATGGAGCAGATACCAAAGATTGATGGTTAGTCCAGTAGAAGATAAATGCTGCATCTGGAAAATTCACTGTCACCAGTAATGTGCATCTGCGTAATCATGGCGGCGACGTGGCCAGCTTTGGGTTGCGAGACGAATGACGGACTAGCTGGCAAGTCCAAAGTCTAAAGAAGGCAGAAGGCGAAAAACGCAGAAGAACTACCTAGTCGCCTCGATGAAAGAAAGGAAAGTCTTGTAAAAGCAGGAAAAAGAAAGAACGAAGCCGTAGTGGTGATGTGTAAAACTAAATAGGCGGCAAAGAAGGAAGGGTTTCGGAAAGTGTAATATTATGGTAATCGAATAGCGCGCGCCGACATGGCGGCGTGGGTAGGGGTGGGCAGGAAAGCAGGATGGGGTTGCGGTTGCGGTGGTGAAGGGGGGAAAGGGAACTGGAGACCGCGAACGCTCCACGCGTGTGTGTTTCCTTCAGGCAGGCTCGTTGCTATATACCTGTCTGTGTGCTGCCGTACACCCGTACATATATGAGGTTAAGCCGTTTCGGCGGTTCCGCAGGAACGCAAGAAGAAGCGCGACAAGATTAAGAGGGCGTACGACGATGCCGTACGCCAAGCCGAGAACAACGACGACCCGCCGCCACCGTACGACACCAGGCTGGACGAGGTTCCGTCGCCCGGTGGGTCTGTTGGGCTGTCTGCTTGAGAGAACGGATCTGATCACCAACTTTTTTCATAATCAACAAGTCTTGCTGCTTTGTTAACCCGAGGTCTCTATCGCAATTTCAATGAGGTGAAAGAGTGCCACGTGTAGAGGTGAGTGTCGTACTGGTCCTCTGCCACACTGCCAACATGACAAGGCACATTACTATGGGGGTTCTTCCGATTTGGAAAAAGCTTACAGCCAAACCCCAAACAGCCATAAAAATAAAGGGTGCAGGATAAGCAGAGACCGAGACCGAGCCACAGCATAATTTGTTGTTGCTGTCGCCGGGTGGGAGGGGCTTCTGGAGGGGCATTTGCACGCACATTTGGATTGGCATGTTTAAATGTACGACGTTTGGTTTGGGTAGTACACATGTTCTACAATAATACTCGTGTTATAATAATAATAATGAACACTAGTAGTTGTTTCTGTATCTGTATAATATAATTGCTTATCTTGAAGTCACACGTGTGGTTTTTCTCCCCGCTGCTGACCCCCTAAATTACCGGCGGCGGCGGTGGCGGCGGCGGTGCCATTTGCGCCTCAGGCTACCCCGGCGCGGGTAAGGCCGAACTTCTGCTGCTGGAATCCATCGAGGGAGATGGCTACGCACTTAACTCCCAGGAGAAGCGTGAAGTGGAGGAGATGTACATGAACCCCGTGTTCAAGGTCGGCATATCGCGCGTGTGTGCGTGTCCGTGCTTTTGTAAACGTACATGTGTGTGTATGCGTGTGCTTTTGAGGGATGTGGACCGTTTGTGCGACAGCCTTCGTCATCTTAATCCTAACCCCTCTGCATGCCCTCCATCTTCACAACACTCCCCTCATTTTGTCAAACCCCTGCTCGCCCTGAAACGTCCCCTGTTTTGCAGGTGAAGCTCGAAGAGGTTGAACGCTTGGAGAAGCTCGCTGAGGATGTGCAGACTCGCCTGCCGCGTTTGAACGAGTGGGTGGCGGAGTACAAGGTGTACCGTCGAGAGGTGAAGAAGCGACACATCAAGGGCGACACTGAGCAGGTGACGCCGCCCAAGATGCCGGAGGACCTCACCATCTACGACGCAGACCCGAACCTGCAGGACAGTGATGATGAGGAGGATGCGGGGGGCGCAGCTGGCGGCAACCCTAACAGCACCACCAACAACAACAAGAACGATACCGCCGCCGCCGGCGGCGGCGGCGGCAGCGGCAGCCTCAGTTTGCGCGGCTTGAAGCAGCGGGAGACCGGGAAGGAGGTTGATGCTGCTGACCGTGTCTAGGATGGACAGTGGCAGCGGGAGTGGCGGGATGACGACATAGCTAGCACGGCCCAGAAGCCGCTGCCGCTGCTTTGCTGAGGCTGCTGCAGATAGATTGTGGAGGCCAGCTGGCAGCCCTATGGGTATATACATATATATTTCTGGCGATGAGATGGCAGGATGGGGTATTAGTATTACGACCATGACGTACTGAGCGCTATGGCGGGCGGGCGGAGCCTCGAGAACATAAACGAGGTGATTTACACAGTATATATATACAGACACATGTATGTGCTCACTGGGGGCGGGGCAGTAGCGGCGACGCGACTGTAGCACGGCATGCACACACGTATGGACGCACGGATGCATCGGCGGGAGGTGAGTATTGCGATGTTACCCAAGTGGCAAGGACGGTGGCGCGGTTCGGAGTCGTGGATGGCAACCAGATATGGGTACATGTTGGTTGGTACGTCGTGATGGGCGGCTGGTTTTGCATTGGGAAGAGCTCTCTTACCGCCGCGCGACTTGAGGAAGCCCTTGACTTGACTTTTTGAGGGGCTGCTTCACGTAGTCGTGTAAAGAACGCATTTGGGCGGGTGTGTTCTAAAAATGGTGGAGGCGGGGAGGTGGTGCGGTTGCTGCTGCCGGTGGATGGCCCCTCCTCCTTTTTAGCAGTGACTTGATATAGTATCTTTGCTGTGCATATATCTAATGTATGATTTTTTTATGTATGAACGTACCTATGTATGTGCGTACGTGCATGATTCGTTTGACGGTGGCTGGGCGTTGTTCGAACTGGAATCGCAGCGGCGGCTTCCGCATATGCCGTGTTGCTCTCCATCTTGACAAACCCCTTCTGGAGAAAGTCGCTAGGTGTGCGCTAGGCCACGATGCTTTGGGGTTTGGTTGCTGCTGCGTCCTCATATCCACCCTACCCTATCTGGCATTCCCCGGGTGTATTGGGATCAGGAGTGTTCAGGTATGGGTGTATCATGGAAGGCGGCTATAGGCCACTCCGTCTCACCTGGCGCTACCGCGTGGCCGTGCCCACCTGCCTCTTTCACGCATACAAACACACACACACGCGCGCGCGCAGGCCTGCCGGGTGCTTTTGTTCGTTTGCATTTGTGGTATTTGTGGTCGTTGGCCGCTCGTCCAAGTATATATATAATAGCACCTTGGGTTCTAACTTGTTTTAAGGCACAACCACAAAATGGTGGTATCAAAATATACTGACTGAAACAAGTGGTTTGAATAAATAACCGTTGTAGAATGAGTGGTTTGAATGAATAACCGTTGTAGAATCCACTTGGGCCTCGCGCCGATAAGTCCCCCAGTACGACAGGGCGGTGTGATCTTTGGATGATGGTAAATCAAACAGGAATTACACTCGATGGTTGAACAAACGACCCAGGGACGCAGGTCCCAGCTTTATGCAGGTAAAGGCCCAGGCTACACGCAGGTATGGACTTCGGCAGCAGTGCGGCATTCAAACGACCAACAGTAATCGCAAGCCGCCGGTTAACTAATATCAGTATAGGTAATCTGAACCCAATCGTCAGCAAATAATAACATTTTTCAGTTAATGACACAAAGTGTAAGTAAACCGAGCTGGACAAACCAACAACCGACAGTTAGGCCACGGAGCCGCAAGCTCCGCACATATACAACAGGGTTCTTAAACCAGAGCTCTGGATACAAGTGTGGAGCTCTGGTGCTTGAGGGCCCGGATGCGCATGCATGTGTGGCAGGTTCTGCACGGGTGGGCGGCTAGGTGTATTGGTTGTAAGGTTTCAGACGGCTGCAATTTTGTCGGCTATGGGTTACTGACCCGGTATTTCAAACTTTTGGGATGTAATTCACGGCATTTCAACGGCCAAGGGTTCCCTCCGCTTGGAGCCGTGAGGGGGCAACATTCTGCCACAGGCATGCGTGGCCTAAAGCTACGAAATAATTATCTGTCGGCTAGGTTTATGCCTTCCTTTCCTCTAATGCAAAGGCGCAGACATACAGTCCAGTCACATCATGATGACGTTGTTAGTAACGGACGAACAATTACAGCGAACCAAGATTATCCATAGCCCGCTGCCCAGTGAGGTACTGATGTTCTCATAGGCATACCGTATGTCTTTTACGTTGCACGCCGTATGTTTCATTAGTACATGAGAAAGGACCCGCACAAGTCATAACTTTGCCTTATTTGAGCTTTTTAGGAAAGACAACAGCGCCTTCTATATACATATTTGTTTTGGGTATAATCCGAACGACATGCATTTGCGCCAGGGCGGCCTAGGACGCCAGGCGGCGACAACAGATTGTTCCACTGATAGTTCAGCGCCTAGGAGTTGCGGCAGCCTTCCCCGCGCCATCCAAGTATGGCGTCCGATCGCACTAGCTCAGCGCAGAGGCCATCAGGTCCGAACAGAATATCTTTTACATCTTAGTCGCTTTTTTAGCCGCCTTAGTCGTGGACGGACCACGCTGAGACCCTTCACCTGGAACCTTTGCAGCTGCAGGCACAGCTTTCTGTTCCTCCAGTAAGGGCGACGCTTGCGGAAGTGCGCGGTTGCGACAGCGACCCGGTTGAGGGTGTCCCCACGGCGCTGGAGGCCCTTCTAGGGCGGCTCACAGCCACAGACGACGCCAAAGAGCGCATGCGGTGGGTGCGGAGGCTCCGGCGGTGTGCGACGCCAAGCCTGCTTACAACACAGCCCCGCTTATAGCCCAGTCCAGTCCCTAGCTTCACACCACCAGCTTCCTTCCCGCGATGCCGTATAGCTGCGAACCAAGAGCAGAGCAGCACGGGGGGCCGGGGACTGCACGAGGAGGGGTCACAGTTCCGGGAGCACGACACATCCTTTTTCGGGTGCCTTAGCGCGGGGTTTGCATGTACGTGTATGTGAACATGTCTACGTGCGCGGTTGCCCCGATGCGGATGCTTTGTTGCCAGCTAGGGGGACGGGGACGGGGACGTGTAGGAGCGCCGTTCCACCTCAGGGGGAACTCAGGCCGGCTGCGGGCGGCGTCGTGCGCGATGTCCATCAGTTCAGAGGAGAAGGGGGGAGTAGCTTCTAGCTCTACCGCCACACACACACACACACACACACAGGGGCAATACCGTTCCCGGGGCCCAGCATCGCTGTACACACACGCACACACACGCACATACACATACACGCACGCACGTCCTTCCCATCCGCCAGCTGGACAACTACCGCCAACCGACACACAACGCTTTCTCTATGATATGATTAGGACTCCCTGCCCCCGCAACAGATGATTGGTGAGCGGTGAGTGCGTGACTGGGTTCATGTAGCAGCTGACCGCTGAAAAGGTCTCTCGAGTTGCTGGCGGTCGCGCTCTGCGCGTATTTATAGCGCCGTACTATGTACCGGCTGCTACATTCCCCCCCCTTTGAAGGGAACCGTCCCGGGCCCTTAGAGCCTCGTATGCCACCAGCCTGTGCCTACCTTCGCCTACCCTCGGGCAGTGGGTAATTACTCCACGTCACGTCATGTGCCGGCTCACATGCGCCTAGCCGTCTTCAGATTTTTCAGGCACAGAGATAGTCCAGTCGGTTCAGCTACTTTTATAATTTGTGCGATATTCGCTCTCTGAGTCGCCACACCCGAATACCACTCGAACGTGATCGGTGGGGGTTGAACCGACGACTTCAGGATCGTGAATTTTCACGAGGTCTCGATACCAAATGTAGCAGCTGACCGCTGAAAAGGTCTCTCGAGTTGCTGGCGGTCGCGCTCTGCGCGTATATATAGCGCCGTACTATGTACCGGCTGCTACAGTTCATGAACAAGCCGTGAGCAAACGAATCCATAAGCAATTCCAATATGATCAAGAAACGATTTTATTTATGGATGTGAAAGACGTCATCATGAACAGAAAGACGTGTTTTGCGGTGTTGGTGTTGGTGTTTGGCGGTGCAGGCGTCTGTTGGAGCTGGGGGCGGCGCTGGAGCCCCTGTCCGCGGATCAGCGGAAGGGGGAGAACCGGGTTATGGGCTGTACGGCGCAGGTGTGGCTCACGGCGAGGCTGGACGGGGCCACGGGGCGATTGCATTTCCGAGGTGGGCTCGGGTGGGGTGGGGTGGGGGTTGCGGGCGATTGCCCAGATATGCCCAGGGTATTTGGCTACCAAGCACAGCACCACGCCACCACCCAGCAGGCCGCCACAACCGCCACAACCACAATATTATCCGCACAAGTGTTCACATCCCAATATGGACATGGGACCTCCCTGCCTACCCTCTTTTTAAGTACCTACCTACCTACCTACCTAAGGCTTTGCCTCCCTCGCCCTCCCCTATCACGTTATCCTACGTCGTATTGCCGTACGTTGCCGTACAGGATGGAGTGACAGCGAGATCAGCCGTGGCCTTGTGGCGCTGCTCGTGGACGGACTCAGTGGCTGTACGGCAGAGGAGGTGCTCCAGGTGGGGTCTGGAACCTTTTGGATGGACGGCGGGTTGTGGGGGAGAGAGAGAGATGGATCATTTCAGGGTGGCTGGCCCGCTCTCCCTCGGCAGCGGCAAGGGCGAGGCGGGGCGCAGGCGACAGGGGGTCCCGCTCCCGTTCACCTAGGGTGGGCGGTCATCAGGTCTACACGTCAATGGTTGACGGTGTGGGGTTACATCCCCCACCCCACCCCACCCCACCTCCCCACACACACAAAAAATCTAGGTGGCCCACGTCGACGCCGTGACTGCGCTTCAAGTCATTAAGTCATTGTTGGTCAGTAAATAAACCCGAAGTTATTCCTCATGCAGTGTCCGTGTCTGGTCCTGGAGTATCCCTATATCTCTGGTATTTGCTTCAATCGTCAGTGGTTCGTCTCCTTACCCCCCTACCTACCTACCAGCCCAACCCTCCCCCCCCCCCGCCGGACGTCAGCAGCTGTTCCCCGAGTTGACAATCCGACATGCCGCATATATTCCTCGCCCCCCCTCAAGACGCGGGGCGGCGTCCTGGGCCGCTGTGTCGCCTCCCTGGCGTCATATTCCTTAAGCCCCCCAACCCCCCACCCACCCACCCCGCCCTCTCCCCTGTCTCTCCCTTAACAATATCTCTATAATCCCACGCAGTTTCCCCGAACCGCCCTTCCCCGAAACCCTGTCCTCCTTCTGATTCTCCCCCTTCCCCCCTATCGCCCGGGCAGCAGCTTTACTCGTTCGTGGTTCGTCTTTCCCCCCTATCGCCCCGCAGCTCCCCTCCTCCGTCCTTCAACAACGGCTGGCTGGCGTACTGGGCCCCGGTGTGCTGACGCCGGGTCGTACGAACGGCTTTGCCAATATGATTGAGTCCGCTAAGAAGCGGGCTCGGCTGCTGGCGTTACCGCACACCATGGCGGTGTTCCCCGCATTGAGGATTACGTCAGACTCCCTGGAGCCTCAGGTACGGCGGGTGCCGTACCAGCGGGGCATGCGGTGGGGGTTGGTGTAATGTACCCTGACGTGAGCCACCTCTTGGCCTCTGGCTTCTAATGCGTGTGACATCTTTGCACGTGGCGGATAGCGGGTTCCGGAGCAAGTGGGGTACCTGGTGAATCTCGGCGGGGCACGATGGAGATATGAGTTATGAGGGAAGGAGGGAGGGAGGGGGGAGTTTAAAAGAGTGGGCGGGAATGTGGTGTGGTGGGTTGGGAAGGTGGTTGGCAGGTGTGGGTGTGGTACATTAGATGGGTGGGTGGTGGTGGAAGGCACCATCCACCTCCCGCAGGTCCTCCTCGTCCTCGTGCTTGGGGGGTTACCTTAGGGGGTTGGGCTCCTCCTCTTCCTCCTCGCCCACTCTTCCCCTCGCGCCCGGGATCTCACTTTTGACTGCTGTCGTACGACAGGGCGCTTTTGCGGAGGCACAGGCTCGGTATCTGCGGCCTGACCAGCAGCAGGTGCGTCAAAGATGGGTGGGGCAGTGAGCGGGTAGGAAGGTGACCCATGGGTCAATACTGGTCACACAAATACAAACAAACACGAGTCACCATCATTGTCATCATCATATACTCCCCCAGCAGCAGCAGCAGCAGCAGAAGAAGGACCAGTAGAAATCAGAACCACGTGACCCATAACCCGGGAGGGAAAGGAGTCTCCGCATCGCTCGCTCATGCGCTGGGTCTGCTACTGCTACTGCTGCTACTGCTACTGCTACTGCTAGGGTGGCAATGGCGCGGCTGAGAGCAATGTCTTCACGTCAGTCCGTTGCCCATTTCCTCCCGCTCCCTCCCTTCTCCAGGTGACCCAGTTGGCCGACCTGCTGCTGGAGAAGCGCATCGGTGTGGTGGCGCACTTCTACATGGACCCGGAGGTGCAGGTGGGGCTGAAGGGAGGGGGGGGGAGGACGTGGTGGCTGGGGGCGTGGGGGCTCGGGGGAGGAAAAGAGAAAACCAACCAAGCGCGGCCACGGGAGGCCGCCGCTGCTGCTGTGCTGTTGTTGCTGCTGTCTTTTCCGCAACCCCCTTTAGGAAAGCTGTCCCGGAGTCAGGACAATCAATTTTGCTCCGACCCCTGTTCGAATCTGCGACCATGCGATCACGAATCCTCATCCTTACGGAATGCGATCTCTCAGTTTGTGTACATACACGCGCGTGTGTGTGTGTGTGTGTGTGTTGCGGGGCCGTTGTCAGGGGGTGTTGAGTGCGGCGGGGGAGCTGTGGCCCCACGTGGCGATCAGCGACTCGCTGGTGATGGCGGATACGGCAGTACGGATGGCGGAGGCGGGCTGTAGGTGAGGGGGGGGAAGGGGAGGGGAGGAGGCGGGGGATGTTAAATACACTGTGCGCGGGGCGCGGCTGATTTCCTTGCAGTTGCCTGTGTGCCATTCCACCGCAACGGGAAACCCCGCGGACATGATGACATGACATTCCCGCCAGGTGTAGACGTGCGCACCCGCATGTGTACATGTACGTAACTACATATATATGTAGAGTGTTGTATATATATATATATATATACACTAGGGTGCTTCCTTCTGTGCGCGCAGTCCTTGATATCAAATATGACATCTATGCCTCACATCCTCCCCCCCCCGGGTGTCTGCCTGCCTCAACCGTCAGTGGCTCGTGGTTCGCCTTAAACCCCCTCCCCATCGCATGCACACACACACACACACAGTTTCTTGTGATCCGCCAGGCCTCGTAATTCTAAACTGACGTAATTCTACGCTGCCGCAGGTCTATCTGTGTGCTTGGAGTTGACTTCATGAGTGAAAACGTGCGAGCTATTCTGGACGAGGCAGGCCATGTCGATGTCCCGGTGGGTGGGAGGGGATGGGGTCCTGACGGGCAGATGCCATCCTGGCTTTAGACTCTCGGCAGCAGCAGCAGCAGCAGTAGGTTATGTGTGGCCCTTGGGGCGGCGGGGCGGCGGCGGCGGGGGGGGGAGCAGTTAACCCGCGAGATGGGATATGTCGTCGCACAATATGGAATGGCGACCCCCAGTCTGTTCCTCGCGTCACCATCATCACTTGACCTCCCCAATCCAAATCCCAATCCGATATCTTCCCTCCCCCCGGGGGGCCCACCCGTCAGGTGTACCGATTAGCCGAGGAGGATATCGGCTGCTCGCTGGCGGAGGCGGCGGAGGCGGATACGTACATGTCGTACTTGTCCACGGCGGCACAAACACCGAACAGGTGTCGTATGTGTGCGTGTGTGTGTATGTGTGTGCATGTGTGGGTATGGGTTATGGGTATATGTACGTGATGTGCGGGCGTGGTTGGAAACGTGTTGTGCCATCTTGTGCGCAAGTATGCCTGCCTCTCCTCTCCCC